AATATTGTTAAATAGATGGACTTTAACATTTACGTCCTGCTCATCGACCTTTTAACGACGTTCAATAATTTACGTTTTATAAGCCTCGCTTTTAAATGAATAGTCTCTGTTAAATAAATATACGTTATCAAAGTAAAAATAACACCAAATCAATGTATATTTGTAAGAAATGTGCAGAAAATATATTTTTTTCAAGAATTCATTACTTTTTTATAACAACGTGCAAAGGTTACTTCATTACACTAGATTTGCTAGAGATTGAGGATTGAGATTGAGGATTTGTAATCCTCAGTGACATAATAAACAATAAGAATTTACTTACAATAATTATTTATAATTTATTTCATTTCATTATAATTTATAAGACAGGTACCAGTATTTATTAACTTGAATAATCTTCGTTACATAAATGGTTAGACGGAGTTTAGGAACCTTTAAGTCTTTTTTGTGAAAACAATTATCGCATAGTCAACTCTTTGGTCAAATGTGAAAGAAATTTTTCATACAAAATTAATAACATTTTATTAAGCTTGACCATTATGAAGCATTTTATTAAACTTCTGATGTGCCGATTCTTTTCTTCTATTCTTATAAGAAATCGAGTCTTATTATCATTAAAAATAAAATACTGTCTCATTAAAAAGCACTCTTTATATGGTGTACTATATAGGTGCTGGTAAGCATCTATGCTTAAACAAACTAGAGAACACCTTACCCATTAATTCGGAACACAACTGTGTTGGTTTATTTGAACAATAGCCGGCGGTACACAATATTTACCACCAGTAAAGTTAGGCTGTTAAGTCAAAATGTCCCATTAGAAGAGCCATCCACTGGGTTATTATAGATTCTTATGTACTTTAATATTTCACAATTTCATATTAAAGGAACACCAATACAAATTCAAAGGACAGGTAAAGTAGCCGGGTCAAGAAGTTTCGGCGACTCTATCAAGAGGCACATTTTCAACAAAGGTTTACTCAACAAGACACCAAAGAAGGGCTCTGGGTCCAACATTAACACGGTAGAAGAGGTACGTATGACTTGTTATTGCCCTTTAATAGAGGGTTATTTTATTTCGCGATATTTTTTAGGAGGTGAATTACTATGATGTGAATTTATGTAGACTTTAATCGAGAATAATATCAGCTGTTCTATACTAAATGTTCAAATGTACTCAAGTAACATGAATGAGATAATTCTTATTTTTTTCGCGATTACTCAGAGTCCTGTACAAAACTTGTTCATGTGAAAGGCTGTGCTTACTCCCTGAAATATCGTGAATTGAAAAAACTACTTCTGTTCATGCTGTCCGGGGAAACTCATTTTTACTTTTTATATCAAGAAATTTATTTGCTTTTTATTTACTTACTTTTACTTTTACTTACTTACTTACTACTTTTACTTTTACTTTTTATTTAATTACTGTATTTATTTATTCTGCCTCTTGTTGCATATGTGTAACTAACATCCATGCATCGTGATGTCATTCTTTTAACATTATGTAGCTTCAAACGAACTGACGAGGGTCAAATGTAATAAACTGAAGTTCTTTTATGTAAAACAAATTAATATGTATCTATACATAACTTTGCACATAAGTGTGGAGCCCCACAGGTTCAATCGCAACTGCGTCAAGTAAAATCTGAAAGCGTGTTTTGTGTTTTATATAGCCCGCACGATAATAGTTGTAAAACGATATTCACGGCCAAATAGCGTCCAATTTTAAGCTATTTAACGCCTTTTATTTCGCCTCGGAGCTTTCTCCAACCAGCTGCAGTCGGATTCCGCGTGTTCGAATACTTTTCAAGAAATTCAGTTTTTGAACTAGTTACAAACTACAAAAGAAATAATTTTTAGTTTCGGATCTAAATAACATATATTTGTCGAGTTCTTAGGTTTTCGCGATTGTTACACATAGGAAATGAAACTATTATTTCGGATTTAAATCGCGTATGTTTGTTTTTTCATGGTTACGGTTGACTGTGACTGTCAACCGCGACCATGGACCCTTTAAAAATAGTTTTATCTCCAACGTATATTTGATTTACAAAATTAAATTGGTAATTGGTAAATTCAAAAATAAGGTTGTGAAATGAATATATTAGACATAACTGGTTAATGACCAATACCAGTAGAGTCCGAGTCATTTGTTTGAAACAAAAAACAAAAAAAATTACATTTCGTATAGATACAAACTGAGTCAATGTGCAACATATTAATTCTTTTTTATTTTAGTTTTCTTAATACGCTGTCAGTTCGTTTGGTACGTAATCTACTTGTGTGTCTGTCTAACTTTCCTCACATCCTAATGCATGTTTGCAGAAAACCAAAGGAAAACTTCGTTTCACAGACGATAGCAAAGTCGATGTTTCTCATAAAAACATTGTATTAAAGAATTTAGCTAACAAAATCGCTAGTTCCGAGTCTTTAGATGACAATGAGGAGTATGAATCAGACGCTAGTAACGAGAGTACATTGTCAGAAGGCGCATTGAATAAATCTCGTAAACTGAGCCCGAAATTCGTGTCCGAACCGAATTTAAGCGTCCTTGAAAATGAAGAAACTCCAAAAAATACAAAGAAACGCACAAGACTGTTCCGTTCAAAGATAATGTCACAAACATTGAACAAAAAGTACCAAAAAAGGAGTACAATCATTCGTGGAACACCCACATCTTGTGTTTCCTGCTTCGATGAACAAGACACTGGGTCAGAAACCGATGTTACTTACCCCGAAGATGTCCCGGGCACTTCAACAACACCAAAGAAACTTAAACACGAGGAGATAGAGTCGAAAATCCAATATTTAACAAGCACCCCGGGGATGTCGGAGGTGGTTTTAAGCGAAGAATGCCATACGCCATACACAATTAATTTTAGAAGAGCCTCGATGTCTCCTATAACGAAATCCACGCAGAAACTTTCGAAGGCAATGCAGGTTTGTCCGCATGCTTATGCTTTTGCGTATTTCATGTTCACTTGTCACCTACATTTTCGCTTTTCTTGTTTGTCTTGTGTTTTTATGTTAAATGTTGGACTAAGTAGATTAAACATGAAGAGCCAGCGCATATGAAATGGCATGGTTAATTGCATCTTTTAAAGTAATTTTAACATCAGCTCTTTGTGATCAGAATAGGATTTAATAATAATAATAATAATAATAACGCACACACTCAACATAGCCCTGCACTAGGTTAACCCTGTGTCGCGGGTGTCATGGACATACACATAGACAACCACAAATTACAGTCAAACACATGAGAGAAATAAATGTAGTCCATACAAATATTTCTCCCAACCGGGAATCGAACCTGGGACCTCCGGCATGGTAACCGTGCGGCCACGGAGGCAGTTGAATATATATATTTACCTGAACTTTAAGTGATACTCATAGATTGGATATACCTCCCTCTGAAATCTTAAAAAGTAAAAATATAATAATATATTTTACTTACAACTGCAAAACTTTTATTCTAAATGTTCAAAAACACTACCATATCGAACTGCTTCCGTGGCCAAACGGTTACCATGCTGGACCGCCACGCAGCGGTCCCGGGTCCCGGGTCTACCAGCTTTGAGTAAAATATTCAAAAAGGATATGTTGACTCAATTACTGTCTTATTTCGGTAGGAATCTCATTTTTCATAGTGAACAATATGGGTTTACTAGTGGTAGATCGACTAGCGATGCGGGGGTAGCGCTACTATAACTTATATTTGATGCTTGGGAAAGGTCCCAAAACGCTATTGGGGTTTTCTGTCACCTCTCAAAGGCATTTCATTGTGTGGACCATATTACTCTTGTTAGGAACCTGGAATATTACGGAATAAATGGCAAGGCGTTGGAACTTGTCTCGTCATATCTTAACGGTAGAATTCAGAAAGTAGACATAAATAGAGTGACTTCTTTGGGTTCTCCGGTAAAAATGGGTGTTCCACAGGGCTCAATACTTGGACCTTTTTTTATTCCTCATTTATATTTATGATCTACCATTTCTTGTTAAGAACCTTTGCGAAATAGTGTTGTTTGCTGACGACGGATCTTTGGTTTTTTAAACAGAGAGACATGACGTTAACTATGACAATATTAACGACACCCTCTCAAAGGTAGTTTATTGGTTTAATGCTAACAAATTATTGGAGAAAAGTTAGACCTTGTTAAGAAAGCAGTCTTGCTGGGAGTGACCTTAGGTAGTAAACTTCAATGATTTCCACATATTATGTCTTCTTTAGCCACCCTATTAAGATCTGCTGTATACGCAGTCCTTAGAATACGTGAGCTTACCGATGTTGCTAGTGCTAGACTAGTTTACTTTTGTTACTTCCATAGTATTATGTCCTACGGGATTCTCATGTGGGGTAAAGCGGCAGACATACAAACCATATTTGTGGTGCAAAAACGAGCGATTCGTTCTGTGTACCGTTTTGGTTCTCGAGTTTCTCTCAGTGAAGAGTTTAAAGAGACTGGTATCATGACTGTGGCATCACAGAACATTTACTCAAATATTTTGTATGCCCGTAAATAATACGTCCAAACTGATAATAAGTCCAAACTCATGGTACTACGATTTCGTTTAACTAAGGTAAACGATTCTTTTATGGGGAACTGTATAAGTTTTTATAATAAGATTCCGGAGAATATATTAAGATTATTATTTCCTAAGTTTAAAACTTACATTAAAAGTATTTTTTAATTGAATAGTCATATTATAAAATAGAAGAGTATGTGTTAGATAAAAAGTATGGAAAGACAACAAGAGTCTAGATTCCACACAATTATGATTCAAAGTGTATTCCATAGCATTTAAGTTTATTTAAAAAGAGCAATCCCTAGAGTTTCTTGTTCGTTCTTCTCAGGGAGATCAGCGTAGTGAACGAGTAGTAGCTTAAAAAATGACGTTTTCAAGTGTAAAAATGTTACCTATGGAATAAATGATTATTTGACTTTAGCATAGAAATGCTAAAATAAATTGTAAAATGATAAAAAAAATTGTGGTTGTTCATCTAACCGATATCTAGGATTTTATAATACTCTGTGTGAATAACGAGCTCTGCCGAAAAAAAACCGAGAAATGCTAAAGCCACGTGTTACGCTCATTTCAGTGAAATCAAAACTTTAAAACGCTCCCCTGTAAAATTGGCAATTTCGACATACGATACTTTACGTAGGAGGTTTACGTGTGTATTAAACACAGTCGAATTGAGAACCTCCTGACTTCCTTTTAGAAGTCGGTTAAAAAAAGCAAAGAGTATTATAATAGTAAAACATCATAATATTCAATGAAATGAATATTTTACAACAAGCAAAAAGTATTTTAAAATTATCGAAAACGGACTTTTTAGCATCCATTCAAATTTCACAATCTACTCACGGCCCTTCCTCAACCTATATGTATGAAATTTTAAACTAGCATAAATAATACAATTATGTGCAAGTCGTGACGAAGCCCAATTTTTAATTTTCGTTCAATGACCTTAGATGACTGAGGTCAAAGGTCACCCACGTTGTCTATGAGAAGAAAATTCAACTTTAAAAATAAGAAAGACTAATGCATTTCGGTATGAAATTGACAATCCACCAAATTTTTATGGCAAAGTTGTTTGTATGAGTTTGATCCCCAGCAAAATTACGGTCGGATCTTTTTTCTTACATATTGAGTTTTCAATAAATAAAAGGACATTTTAAACCTTCCAGGAGTCGATAATGACACCGCGTTCTCGAAAACCCTTAATAATAACTTCCGAGCAACGCGACAGCCTTCCTGAGACCAACGAAAAAGACAAATCGGTAGCTGAATCTGATATTTACCAATCAATGTCGCCGAAGAACGACAGTGACTTCGTGTCTTCTGAAGACGATATGCTATCCAGATCTTCGTTTTCTTGTGAGAGGTACGATATTTTACAATTATAAAATTACATGGTTGAAATCGCAACGGCTTAAAATATTTGTATTTAATTGTCCTGCAATTTGTCATACAATTATTGTACTTGGTCCCTAGAGCAATAGAGTTCCTTGTGAAAGAGTTCGTCCAGTGAAGTACTGTCAACTTACCTATTTCTGCCGCCAAGCAGTAATTTGAGAATTATTGTGTTCCGGTTTTGAAGATTAAGGTTCTGGTGACATTACAGGCACATGGGACTTTTCAACTTATATCTCAGGGTGACGGGCGCAGTGGCAGTTTGTCTTAGATCTTTGCAATTTAAAGCTTTGAGTGGCACTGCAACTGTTATGGACAGGCATTTAGCTTACCATCAGGCGCACGACTTGTTCGTCCCGTTAAATGATATTATAAAAAAAATACAATTATTGTACTTGGTGGCTAGAGCGATTTTAACACATTAAAGTCATCGTTAAGTTATGAAGATTGTTAAGTTTGGTAGCATAGTTTTCTTTACGATAATAAGATAAAAATAATATACTGCCAGATAATCACACTAATTACAGGTAGACCAGGGTTGAGACCAGGGTCTCAAACTAGGGAATTCCCTGTACTATGTTCTCGGTTCTTTTGTGGGGCAAGGAATTCAGTATTATAATAAGATTTCAAAAGCTGTTTTGGACTTATCATTTGATAAGTTCAAAAATCATGTAAAGGCAACTCTACTAAAGAGAGGATATTACTCTATTAGAGATTATATAAATGATAAGACAGTATGGTGTTAAAAATAGTGTAAATGTGACGATTTCTAGTGTAATTTGCTTATCTACGAAATAAAGATAATTTTGATTCACACAAGGAATTATTTCCTTTCAGTCATTAGGAATTCATTCCTAACAATTCTTAGTTCGTGAACTACTCAAACCTACTGTAAAGAGACCGAAACTTTGCTTTTTCGTGAAAACTTAAATACTGGATACGTCCTACATATTTTCGATCGCGATCGAATTGATAAAGACACCGCGCTGCATTCGGTGTGTGGTGCTCGTAACTTAAAATGTATCCAATTTCAGGTCACACCACTCGACAAACACATCTTTACCTCGAACAAAAACGCCGTTGGACGCCCGCTCAATTTCGGTCACCGATGCCAGTCCACTCCGTTCAGAAAACACACGTTTCATTATCAGTCACGAACGACCAAACTTCATCGAAGACGAGCTAAACACAACTCTATGTGGCAGCGACTTAGTACCAAATTTCAAAATCTCCCACGAAATGACTAACCGAACGAAATCTTTAACAGAACCGTTCAGAGATTATCTATTGAGTCGATCGGTCCTTACCGCAACGCCTATAGATTTGTCTATATTGAACAAATCTAACGATATAGAGGAAAAATTAAGTGACTCGCTAATGTATTGTCTTGATGGAAATGTGCCTTCAGATTTGACATCTTCAATAAGCAACTTAGCGGTAGATAAAGACGCTAGCAATATATCTCTACGATCACCTTTAAAAACTATAAACAATTTTAATATAGAAAATAGTCCTAGCAGAAAACGATGTGCATCAATTTCGAAGGACATTACGGAAACCAAAAAAATAATGGTTGAAAAGGAGAATGAGGAACAACCATTTGAAATACGAGAGACGGATCTTTAGTTTTTGTTATCGTTTTTTTTTAACAAAAGACGCCTATCAAAATATATGCTTTTAGCATAAGAGATCGGCGATATTGCATAAACAACGATGTAAGAAGTATTCTGTCACGTGCAACGCAATTTCTGTATCCAGCGCAAGCACCCATGTATGCTGCGTTAAGAACAATAAGAAGAACGGGAAGTGTACTTTCAGACTTTTTTTATCCGTAAATCCGTTCTAAATATGTTATCGGCGGCGTGTCGATATAATAGGTTCTATCGTGTGCGTGAAGGCACTTAGCGCTTCAAACGAAGCGTCAGTGATTCTCCGACAGATTGTCAGTACTATGCCCTACGGAAATGGTAATTGTAGGATCACTAACGCTGCGTATGTGAGAAATATTTGTATAGAACATTATGCTTGCTTTCTGTCGCGTAATCACCGCCAAAACAAGCATATATTTCCAAAGCACTGTGGCAAGTTACTCATCATGGCCGTTTGGCGATAAAAACACGATTAAACTTTTTCATTCAAACGATGCGGAAGTATGGGAACGTATCCCATTCTCATCGCGCTTTTTGTGTGGACAAACCTTGCAGTCGTTAAGTGCGTCTTGAATCTATTCACCATGCCGCAGCTGTATGTTGCAAATGACGTTAAATGTGTCTGTGTGATTATGCCGGCCACATACAGTCGGAATCAAAAGCAAAACCATATAAATCACGGACTTATCACAGACACAGTATTCCGTTCGATTTTTTTCCGATTTGAAATTCCGTAGGGTGATTCCGTAGGGTCCGAATTTCGAATCGGAAATACTGTACGGAAAAAGCCGTTCCGAATGCAAGTCTTCCATAGATTTTGTAACTTGATTTTGTCGTCACAGTCTTAAATTCTGTACGTATTTTCGCTGCGAGAACATCTGGACTCATTGCCTCGTGTCTTTCATCCTGAGTCTTGTTATTCCGAACGGACATAAACGTATGTGTGTGATATATATACGGAATCTCGAAACGGAATTCCTGTAAGTGGCGGACATAATCGCCGAGCGCCCAAACGGTGCTCGAAGTGTAGTGGGTATTAATTCTCTTGCTATCATGTCGCCAGCGTGAAAGGTTGCCATACAAATATTGTTACGCGTGGTTTGTTGCCCTGAGTTGTTAGCGTATGTATCGATGACGCACGTGGACCGAAACCGGATTGACAGAAAAAGAGCACTGCCAGATAAACGATTGAATAATGATTTTCCATGTGATCTTAACAGTATTTTGTTTCTTTTTCTTAAGAGTGAAATTGAGACAGTATTGTCTAACTTTTTACTTTTAGTATAATCTCATAAGTGCCTAGATTATAACGAATACTACGATTGTATAGTAAAAAAATGTGATACGTCGATTTTATTTATAATATATCGACGATTTTTCACATACAATCGTTTTTTTTTTTCGATAAACAAGCTTTGTGACATAGCTGAGCATAATGTTATTTTTATAATAATTGTAATTCTTACCATATACTTATTGTAACGTTACACATAAAAACATAATATTTTGATTTATGCAAATTTTAATGGCCTGAGTTTTATTTTCCTGATGCAATTTAAACTCGGCAAGTGTAAGTAAGAAAAGGGATATCGGCGTGACATGGCGATCTATTTTCGACTTATTGAGCAACAGTTGCGATTTGTTTTTGCTACTTTGGCTACGCCTATTGGGCAAATCAATTTACTACTGTAAAACGGGGAATGAATAAAATAAAAAGGGTAAAATTTTTAGTACCAGTAGAGCTTCTTGTGAAAGAGTTCGTCCAGGTTAGTACTGCCACCTTACCTATTTCTGCCGCCAAGCAGTAATGTCAGCATTACTGTGTTCCGGTTTTGAAGGGTAAGGGTGCTGGTGAAACAATAGGCACATGGGACTTATGTCTCAGAATGACAGGCGCAGTGGTAGTGCCCCTTAGATCTTTGCAATTTAAAGCTCTGATTGGCACTGTAACTGTTTTGGACGGGCGTGTAGCTTACCATCAGGCGCACGACTTGTTCGTCCCGTCGCTTGATGTTATAAAAAAAAAATACGCATAATTCTGTGATGGAAAGTGATACAATTTTTAAGTAAGGATTATGGAATTATTATAATAGTATTTATATACTGGATAATAATGATAAAACTTGAGAAACGCGGAAAATTTTGGTATGGGAGTAGTAGGAAACAATAACTGATAAAGTTCTTGCCAAAGCCAGACAAAGAGTCGTATTCTAGAACTCTACTCAATGCTCAAGTCAGGATTGCACTGGAAACACAAGCACTGGAAATACGACCCTAATGGCAGGAACTTGAGTATGATTTCGAGTGCTTTAAACCATACTCAAATCCTGACTTGAGCATAGAGCAGAGTTCTGGAATACGACCCTAAATCATATTTAAATAAATAATAACTTGATTTACGTAACGTTGAAGCTGCTGTACTCTGATCATAATAATATTTAAATAGGTAGTCATTGTTTTATTCATACTATTATGATACTATTACTAATTTTAACTTCGTGGTTGTCACGTATGCCACTAGAGGCCGCGAGTTGTGCTTTCCGGAACATGATTTCATTGTGTCAGAACAGAAATGGAGACATACATAACATTCAATCATTGTAACTTATGTAGTCAATCTTTAAACATTGGAAATATTATATAATGATATATAAATACGGTAGTTGTATGTTTTAATAATAATTAGAATGTTTTAATAATAATTAGAAGTACTTGTATTGAAGTAATTTCAAAGACATTTTTATCACTCTAATGTTCTGGATACCAATTACACCGCTAGATGCCACTGCAGCTGGTAATTTTTGGTGGTTAAGATTTTGGCGGGGAAAGGAAGATAGTTGTATGTGTTATGTTTTTTTCAGCAGTTTTTGACTTCTGCATTTGTGTAATATGCATTGACTTACAAATATATGGACGTCGGGTCCGCGCTAAAAAGTGTCCGCACTTGTAAGGCGCTAAAATCGTATACAGAGCGCGACACTCCGCTTTAGTCTTCATTTGTTCTACTGACAGCGCGATACTGCGATGACATTACAATTTAAATTTCGAATAGGTTGACTTGGGACATTTTTTTCGTGGTTTTTGTATTAGACCCATCGTCCATTTATTTGTAAGTCAATGGTAATATGTGAATAATATTGTATATGCGTAAGTATTATATATTATTATATATATGTAGTGTGTGTATGTATGTAGGTCAAAAGTATCTGTGCACTTAATTTATAAGACATGATAGTCCCACCTAGATGAAATGTCAGAGGAGGCGAAGTAACGTGATCATTACTGCGTTCCGGTTTTGAAGGGTAAAGGTCTTGGTGAAATTACAGGAATAATTATGAGACTTTGCAACTTATCTCTCAGGGTGACGATAAATGGAAGTGTCTTTCAGATTATTGCGATTTAAGGCGAGGTATTGCAACGCGTCTTTCGCGTTCCGTAATCCGAGCGCTGACTATGAATAATGAATAAAATATGAATAAAATAAGAACAGGCGGAGAAAATTCATTGATACAGATCCATCGTCGACAAGCGTCTGATGGCGACTGACGGGGCAGCAGGCGACGCGGCATGTCGTTAAATCGCTCATCAATTTTAAAGAATGATGGGGACATCACGTATATTTTGTGACTCAGTGTTTTTGACGACGTGCGTTAAAGAGGCCTATCAATACTTGTGATTCATTATCAAAGCATCAAAAAAGTTAATTGAGTACGGCCTGTAGAAGCTGGGGGTTACAAACTTGATGTCCTGTATTTCGCTTCAGATGTTTGTTCGTAGTAGCAGAAAACAATAAGTTTTCAGTTTGGTCCTAAAAATAATAAAGAACTTTCTGAATATACCTAAATTTGATAAACTCTGCCACATGTAATATACGTTATGGCCGCCGCGCGGCAACCGCGCGAAAACTTTCTCCTCGTGTATCTGGGCGCTAAAGGTCTGAGGGTCGTATTTCAGAACTCTACTCAATGCTCAAGTCAGGACTTGAGTATGATTTAAAGCACTAGAAATCATACTCAAGTCCTTTCCATTAGTGTCATATTTCCAGTGTACTCAAGTCCTGACTTGAGCATTGAGTAGAGTTCTGGAATACGACCCTTAGTGGCACTGCAACTACTATGTGTGTGTATGTGTGTACTACAGGTGTGTTGCTTAACACCAGGCGTACGACATGTTCGTCCCGTCATTTGGTATCATAAATACATTTTTTTATTGGGTTATTTTCAGGTTAGTTTTCTTTACCTAATTTTGGTGACAATTTTTATTGTAATATTCTATAATATTATCATGAGGTCTTTATTTAATATTCGAGTGTAGTATCCTGAAATATTATTTAATATTTCACTGAGCCTAGTCAGCCGCTCGTACAGCGCCATCACTGGCGAAACGTGTATATATAAAGGGTGTGTCTCAGTAAGAGTGCACTTTTTCATTTTAAAATAAAAACACGTATTTTATGAGAGAGTTGTGATATTTTTATTATATTTTGAAGAAGACATGTTCCGATTATGTATGGAATAAAATATCTGGCAAATGGCCCCGGCTACCCGACCACGGCTCTGATGACAGGCCATTACTCTTTTCATGAAATTTTCCATGACTTTCACAGAGATGTGGCTGTATCTCACCGATGACGCGTTGGATCTCTGATTTGAGCTCAGGAATTGTTTCTGGTTTATTCACATAAACCCTAGATTTTACAAAACCTCAAAGAAAAAAATCGCATAGCGTTAAATCGCACGATCTTGGTGGCCAGTTGACATCAGAATTTCGTGAGATAATGTGTTCTGGAAATCGTTGTTGCAATAAGTAGATTGTTTCATGCGCGGTGTGGCAGGTGGCGCCGTCTTGCTGAGACCACATGTTGTCCAGGTCCATGCCGTCCAGTTGAGGCCACAAGAACTCTGTTATCATGTTCCTGTAACGAATGCCGTTCACAGTCACTGCAATTTCGGCCTCATCTTCAAAAAAGTAAGGCCCAATCACGCCGCCTGACCAAAATCTGCACCAGACAGTTGCTCGTTGTGGGTGCATTTGTTTCTCATGAATTGCATGAGGATTTTCTGAGCCCCAAATTCGACAATTTTGTATATTCACGTAGCCATTCAAATGGAAAAGCGCTTCATCGGAGAAGATGGCTTTTTTCGAAAAATTGGCATCGAGTTCACTTTGCTCCATTACCCATTGAACGAATTGCCGGCGCTTTCCATGCTGCTGGTTTGAGCTCCTGTGTTAGCTGAATCTTGTACGCATGAAGGTGGAGGTCTTTTGTCAAAATTCGCTGCATAGTGCTTCGTGAAATTTGAAGTTGCTGAGAACGATGCCGAATTGATGTTTTCGGGTTTTCGGCGACACTCTCGTTTACAGCAGCAATGTTTTCAAGAGACGGACCGGTACGTTGACGCAAAGGAGTCTTAATATCCACAATCGACCCAGTTTCTTCAAATTTTTTGACCACTCTTCGAATGGTTGACACATTAGGTGCACTTTCTCGACTGAAAATTTGGCGAAGTTTGCGAGCGGTCTCAGCGTAACTTTCCCCATTTTTGTAATGACTTTAAATTTCAGAGTTGCCACTTGCACGAACAAAAAATGATTCTAAATTTAAAAAATATGTCGCACCCTTAGTAATATAAGGGCACAATCCAAAAAAAGTAGATTTTTGGAAAATCGCGTATTAAGATTCTGGATTCCTACATTACACCTATTTTTTCAAATAACATGCTTATGCCATATAGTACAAAAAATATAACAGAAATATGCAGTTATTTAAGTTTGATCCCATTTATTATTTAAGTCCCTATCAATTCCCAAATTTCCCAAAAATCTACTTTTTTTGGATTGTGCCCTTATATTACTAAGGGTGCGATGTATTTTATTTTATTTTTATTTTTATTTTCATTTTATTCGGAAAACTTACAGCTAGGTAACAATAATAAAAGCTTAAATATAGTACATGCCTGACAGATCAGTGCATGTATGCTGAGGGCTAATTAAAAGCTTCCACAGATTGATACAATGTAGGTGGAGAGGAAGTTGACGACTTAAAAAACAATGGATAGTAAGCATTAAAAACATTATAAATTCAGCTAAATGCTTGAAAAGAAATAATCACTAAGTAATCGTTTTACCTTACTTGCACTAGTGTTGAATAGGTCTACATCACTATATTTATTCAATAAGTTGTTATATGAGCAAGACGCTCTACTTATAAATGCATTTTGCCTATAATTGGTTCTAACTATGGGAACGTAAAGGGTTATATGATTTCTCAGTGCAACCTTGCCTGCGCGTAGTCCTATTCGCTCAAGGAGTTCGGGGCAGTCAATAGTGCCGTTTGCTATGTTAATAATATAAGTCAAATCTGCAATTTCTCTACGTCTGTACAAAGGCAGAAAGTGAAATTTGCGACACCTAGTCTCATAGTTTGGCAAAAATATACCGGCTCGATATTGTAGGTAACGC